CCGTGGTACAGACGAAAGTGCCGCTCCGCTCTCCGCTGTGACTGCATCAGCACTCCTTTCCAGACAATTCTTCATTCGGCTCGGAGAGTAGTGCCACAATATTTCATTATGGAAGTCTTAGAAACTCACTTTGTATGCATAATTTCGTGATTTTATGCTACAACCACATCCTCGTGTCCTCATTTTGTGCTGCTTAGATTTTGTGATTTTGTTGTGCTGTCACGGTGTGATTTATTGGCGTTGCAGTTTGATGCGGTGCACGGAGATTGCGGTCAAAACCATTTCGCCATATTGTGTTTAATTGAAAATTATCGCCAATTATTTTCAGTTGAGGCCCAGACGAAGACAGAAATTCGCCTACTTTTGTCTCATTAACTTTGGATAATCCGAAAAGTTTGAGAATAAGACATAATCACCCAAACAGCGGGCGCCTTGTTGTCGTAACTTGCGGTTTCGGAGGAAACAAAGCAGCTTGTTGTGATTTTGTGATTTCTTCATGTTGTCATGTCGTGATGCCGTGGTGTTTTGGTGTTGTGATGTGATATTGAGATGTTATTTTGCGGCATCTTGACCCTGTAACCTTAGGACATTGGTTCCCAAACATTACCTAGTCGCGACTATTCGTAAGTAAGAGATAAAAATAAATAAAATTCGTGTATCTTCATTATTATCTTTTTACATTATTGACATTAAATTAAAATATTTAATAATTAATGCGATAGACGAGCCTGCAAATTACTGCACATTTCCGCAAATTGAAACTTTTACAATATTTCGCAGCACCCTTTTTCAATTAAAATTGTTCCATGGCGCCCCACCCTAAGTATGACTATCCGTAAGTAAGAGATAAAAATAAATAAAATTCGTGTATCTTCATTATTATCTTTTTACATTATTGACATTAAATTAAAATATTTAATAATTAATGCAATGGACGAGTCTGCAAATCACTGCACATTTTCGCAAATTGAAACTTTCACAATATTTCACGGCGCACAGTTTGTGAATCACTGTCTTGGGATATTGTGCAGTTGTGATGTCATGAGATGTGGAATTTGCAATGTCATATTGTCACTTTGTCAGTTTATCATGTCGTGACGTTCTGACAGGTTGGTGTGACATTGTGATTTCGTGATGCCCTCATGTTCTTACGATGTGATAGTGATGTGATTTTTTAGGATTTCTTGTCATTATTTGCCGATCGACACTGCGAGAGTGCCATCTTGGCGCCAATTTTCCCGCCATCAACCGTGCTTCTTGACCAATCAACCTATTCCGGTCGGGCACCGCGGCCGAGTCATTGGCCCCTTCTGTCCAGCCAATGCGCTACAGATTTCCCACACAAAACAGTGTCCATCACGTGTCTCATTCGCCTAGCCCCACACACACACACCCCTCCACACACACACACACACAATTCGTCGTGCTTCTGCGAAGATTCGTTATGTAGGTTCACATTGTCAACTGCATCGTTGCACGAGGTTCCGGTCGAGGAGGTGGTCATCTTGTGGCCTCCTCTCGCTGCCTCGCCGACCGTTGCCGGGCCTGAACGAGAGGCCACTTGAGAAAACATAAACTTCATCGTCAGCCTGTACCTCTTTTGCCAAATTGATCCATCGTCTGTTTATGCCACTCCTTTGGCCCTCGCCCAGAAGTCCACTTTTCCTCTCGTCCGTCCTGTCCGTCTCGTCTGTCTCGTCTGTCTCGTCTGTCTTGTCGTCCTGT